CACCCACACACACACCCACACCCACACCCACACCCACACCCACACGCACACGCACACGCACACGCACACGCACACCCACACACACACACACACACACGCGCGCGCACACATACATACACACACATACACACACATACACACACACACACAGAGAGACAGACAGAGCGACAGACACACACAGCGGGTGCGCGCTCGCGCGCGGAGCTTGGGGCAGGATGCACCCCGGGCTCCCCACCTGGTAGAGAGGGAGAGAGGAAGGGAGGGAGAGAGAGGACACAGAGACTAGTGCGCGTGTGAGCGCGGGGCGGTGCGCCTTCCCTTGACTGTGCTGAAGAAGAGAGGACATGCCCCTCTGACCCGAAGGAAGAAGGAGAGAGGGGGAGAGGGACACACAACAGGGGGCACCTCTCGGTGCGGGGGCGCTCGCCAGCTCCCTGGACCCCCGGAGTGAAGTGAAAATGAAGTGAAGAAGGAGGGGGACCCAGCGAGAGAGAGTTTGCGGGCTTCTGCGTTCTGCAATCCTGTGCGAGTGTCACCACGATCAGCCCAGTCGGTTGGGAAATTACCTGCTAATCGCTTGGTATCTGGAGGAGGCCACAGTTGGTGAGGTGCCCTTGGAGCCGGCCGCTGGCAGCCTCGAAGAAGTCAGTTCGTTCTTGTCCGGAATGGCAGCAGAGGCCATGTTCCCGGCCTTGTCCGCGTAGAGAGCGTCCTGGCTATTCTGCCAGGCACGGGCAGCCCTGCAAGAGGAACGGGACAAACTGCTCAGCCAGAACTAGTTCGCCAATTGGGAGGGGTTTTTCTGAGCCTTCGCTCTTGAGACCCAGGCCGCGATGGCAAACAGCACGTCCAGAACGCGCCAGCCTTGAAGGGCAATGGCAGGCCCTGCACGCCAGAGACGGAATGTCTCCCAGGCGCAAAACGATCCGGTTGAGAGGGTCGCCGAGGCGAAGTTGATCCGCCTTCGGCCTTCCAGCGACCACGTTCAACTTTCTACATGACTCACTCTTCGCGGAGACAGGCACCCACCCTGGCCCTGGATTCAGATCACGCAGGCCAAAACACAGGCACAGTTCGTGGAACTTCGCGAAGGACCCGGTCAGGCAGTGCTCATCGGGAGATCACGCCTGCTGCGCCTCCAGCCGACAGCAGTTTGGCTATGCCCGATGCTGCCGAGGCTGTTAGGGCAATGTGTCGGGGCATGAGCTCGCACCTGCTACTGTGCCGTGCCGCGGTACCCTTTTGGCAAGGCTCTTCAGTGCATCGAAGAGGAGCGGATGGCATGCCTCAGCCTTAAGACTGCAGCGGCAATGCACGTCGATGCTGACAGCGGCACAAATACAGGCTTCGGAGCATTTTTGAGTGCAGGTCTCGAAGAACTAGAGCGGGAACACGAGGAGCGGGTTTTCTGAAATCGTGCATTGCTTGCAGAACCAAGCCTAAGCCTGAAAGGCCTTTGTGGAGCACATGCAGCAGGAAGAAGAAGACATCCGTCGAGAGGAGGCGCCCCTGTACGCGCAATATGCAGGAGTCCAGTACACTCAACGGAAGTGAATCCTGAAGTGTGGTTCTTGATGCTAGGGCTGCTATTGTATGAAAAACATGGCTTTGCGTGTTGTTGGAATCATATTTTTGTTTCTGATCCTCCTTTGCATCCGATCAGATGCTTCACGCATTATGCTGCACGTCTTGGCTTCGAGCGACCTTTGCATGCTGGGCTTGAACAACTTCTCGTGCTTGATTTGCATGGGCTTGGCGTCCGAAAAGACAAGGCCCGCACACCAAAAGCACAACCAGCAAGCAAAGCACATATTGCAGCCCAGCGTCTTGGTGGGCGCACGCTACTGTATCTTCATATCTGCGGCTGGGCTGTTTGCTTTCATCGGCTTGTTCCAACTGACGTGGACTTTCATGTGTTTCGTGCCATATTTCAGGCGGGAGATCGGAATTCTGAAATCAGCATTTCACCTGCAAGTCGTGCACAAAGTACGGGCTGGTCTTGTCGGGATTGTACGATGGGCAGCAGATGTTGCTTTACAGCATGGCTGTTGGAGGTACGTGTGCAGGAGGAGGTGCGGATGCATCGGGAGGCCGCCCCTGGCGTTACCGTTGTTGCCTCGTAGAATCAAGCTTGGGGTATCCGTACACCTGAAATCATCGAATTGTAGAGGCCACCACCAGCAGCTGTTACAGGTCTGCCGAAGGTGTGCATAGTGCAAGAGCTTTCGTTCACGCTTGGCCCGAGAGCAGCACCTCCAAGCCTCATGTCATCTCATGTCATGCATCGAGCCAAGTCTTCAACTTCTGGTAAGAGGCAAGAGGTGCGGATCTATCGGTAACTTATTTGTGGCCTTCATCAGAGCACGCGAGACAGCTCACGTAGCGCAAAGTGCACAGCCCGTCGAAAGATGCGACTGAGTTGGCCCGGCCCTAATTATGTTATTCAGCGCGTTGTGGTGAATCTGCTGTGAGGCGGGGTTTGCATTCCTGTATCACACCGGACAGGTCGTGCGCAACGATTATCTTGCTGATCCATGTTGCATGTGGAGGCTGTTGAACGCTTCAATCGCTTTGCTGCGCGCAGCGCGTAAACCCGCCTTGTACCCTGCCGAAATTGCAGACATGCCAGCGGAGAAGATGAAAGCGCTGGGAGGCAAGGAGCGAGCAGAGGCTGGGACTGGGGACGTAATTCTTTGCAGAGGGCCAACTGTCTGTCATACTGCACATGCCGCATGACCAAAAAGCACTTGTCGCCCGAGTAAGATGCTCAAAGCTCGACTCAACGCCTTCAGCCTCACCGCGCCATAGACAACAGCAGAACTGTGTGCTACTCGTGGTTGGAGTGGCCATGGCAGTGTGGCATCGCCATCTCGCTGGACGTAGCTGTACATGTTTGCTTGTCGCTTTGTGGTTACTTCCTTCACGAAGTGACGGTTGGGGAAGCGTCTTCACCAATGCTTCGATCCGGACTGGCCGCCAAGCGGCTCTTGCGGCTCCAGCTGGGCAGCGGAGGGCATCCAGCGACAGCGATTTGGAGGAGCGCAGGGCCAAGTGCCCCTTGAGCCAGGAGCAGCTGGAAAGTGACCATGGAGAGAAGTGGGGAGATGTGAGGGATATTCTCGTGGGGCTCAGGGCAGCAAGCCCTGAAGCCATCATGCGGGTTCCTTTGGATACCAAGAATCTAGTTCCTTTCTGTCCGTTTTTGCACTGTTTTACCCTGGGTTCCCGGAAGTTTTGCAAGTGAGGCTCGTTTCACGGCTCTCCGTTTTCAAGACCCGCAGTTCCTCGCGGCCACCGAGAAGGATGACAATCAGTCAATCAGAGACCGTGCAAAGCAGTGGTCACTACTCCTGGGCTTGGAAGAGATGGGCATGTTCCTTGGCTCGGTGTTCGCTTTCCGCAAAAGGTTTTTTGAATGCCCCTCTGCCATTTGCATGCATTGCAGCTATGCCAGCACGAACAAATAGGTCACCGTTCCGGGTGTGGAGACCCTCAAAATGGGATCAGTATTTGGAAGCTTGGGTAAGGCCGTAGCAATGCCGCCGAGATCTTGTACCCCGAACATGTACAGGTACTACCAGTAGTAGGTCTGGAAGGTTTGTGGGCACTAGGACGGTGGTGACAAGAACACAGATGTACCCTAGCACTATACTCCACAGCACCGGCAGTCACCTCAGAATAAGTAGTCGCCAGCATGGGACCATACGATCTTCAACTCCTGTCGGAGTCCCGGAGCATACCGTCATGCAGACACTTGCTCTTGCAGATAAGAAGCTTTTTTTGCATCTGCGGACAATCCACATTCTCGAGCCTTCAGTCGAAAGGTTCGACAAAATGATGAATCTCAACAGCGATGCTTTCAATTTGAGGGAGCCTGCTGGCTTCGAAGTCCTTTCGGCTGACGGCGAGTGGGTCGAATTCAAAATCGTTTGCCCCGTGGCATGCATAGCTGTACTTTGTTTTCAGGTGTTCCTCAAGCTTCACCTTTGATTGTGGCCAGGTCTGAAGGCAGGTTTCAAATCTCCTTTGCTGTAGTAGGTTTTAGGAGCTGCTCGTGTTGTACGTAAGGTTCTTCCAAGACATTGACGGAAAAGAGCCGCTTCGTCAAAGACCGAAAGTATGGCTGGATTTATGGCGGTGAGACGGAGTACAGCGAATGGTCATAACTGAGGAATTGTCGTAGAAGAGCCTGAACATTTGGGGTGCTCGGTTGCGTTGCGAGCGCGATGAGGAACAGAGTTGAATAGATGTATCAACCGCCGCAGCTCAAGCTGGACAAGCGAAAGAAGTAATTGGATAATTTGTTGCCTCGGAATACGGGGACATCGCTTGATACTTCCACAGGGACTGCATCCTCGACCAGGGTGTGGCGTGTGCTTTACTTGAAATTTAGATCGGGCGATGGTGAAGGCACACCTGGGCAAACGCTAGCTGTCTGCCCCGCCCGCTTCGAGCTGCAAGAAAAGAGTCGTCGCACCAGCACTTCTCTGGCCAGCACAGGGACGCTATTGCCCATGCGCAGGAAGCACGGATCCGTGCCAAGAACCAGCAGGAAGAAAGCAGAGAGCGTGCGATGAAAAGAAGTCGGCATCCCAGCCGTGTTATTTTTGCCGAGCATCCTTCAGGAAACCCCCCAAGCCGCCCCAGGAGAAGAGATTCAGCAGAAGCAAAGGCAAGCCAGAGAGAGAGGAAGGCCAGCATGCCGCCTGCACTGCTTGACCATCGGCTGCACACTCCAGAGCACTTTCAACTAACACGGCAGAACTGTAGGTTGGGCCTTGTACTGCGCAGCTGGCATGTTTCATAAGCGTTCTGCAGGACGGAAGCGCAGGCTGGAAGAGCCAATTGACCTTGCGACAGTTGCACTGCCAATTTGGCTTTCGTGGAATGCATATTAGTCGATCGCGAGGTGGGAGATTTTGTCAAGCATTGCGAGGCTGCCTGGTCCGCATGAGCATAGCTTGTGATTTTTGCAGGATTGTCACCCAGTTTCGGCCAGGCACAGAAGAACATCGCCATGGTGTCCTGGCAGAAGACGTTTTCTGAGTTGCTTGGCCAAAGTCGGTTGGGGGTGGAGACCGTCTCAGTGTTGCTGCCTTTCGCTCGGCTAGGCTGTCAGACCAGATGACGGCTGAGGACAAGAAGCAAGAGGCACATCGACAGACAAACATGACAGCATTAGCGATATTACATGTCCTCCTGGCTAGGCCTCAGAGGGGAAGCAGGGGTAAGCACATATTGAGCAGGTTTATTGATGTTCATTGTGCGGACCGGTTCCAGATCGTTTGGAGGTTGATCCCAGGCCGTGGCAGTGGATAAGTGAGTTGCTGTGAGTTTGTCGATCGAGGTTCTGCTGGGAGCACAAGGCCAGATGGCTCTTCAGAAGCTCTTTCGGCCCCCGACTCTGTGCGAGGCTGAGAATCTGCTGGATAGCGGTACTATCTAAGAATGCCTGCAGCTTCTGCAAACACAGGCACACCATGGGGTACGTGAGGCGTGGTTACGGATCGTTCACTACCGTGTCTAGGACCGTCTGTCTCCTCGTTTGCCGCTGTGTGCACGCTTAATGTGCCAGGGCTGGCCACGTGCCCAAAGAAATTCGACAGCTCTTGCTCAGTCATTTGAACAAACATCGGAGCAGGCGCGCACTTTCCCCTGCCTTCCTGCCTCTCGTGATCAGTCTGGGCGGAGGTCATTCGTTGCGGCTTTCAACCCACTTCTTGGCAATCAGCGGAAAGCGAGCTTCGTCTGCTGTATCTTCCAGCGTCGAAGCTTCTGATGGACAGGCCCGTGTGCATGTGCTCGAGGAAGGCACTGCCGCTGCTTCCCGAGTGGACGAAAAAGGCGGGGCATCATCTACGCCATATCTCCCTTCTCGGGGTTTCATGGTCAGGGTGGCTTCATTGACAACCTGCTGCGTCCCATTCTGGAAAAAGCCTCAGGCAAAAAAATGGCCGGGGACTTATCAACCTGATTTGGATGAAAGACTTTGTGCTTAACACCTTCAGTTTGCATAGCCAGAAATGGTAGGCAATCAAGTTTGCGAGCATGTCGCACAACTTTGCATTTTACCTTTATGCATGGTGCCATGGGCACTGCCCACTTGACAGACACCCTTCCTATGATTCTATATCAGGCTCAGCTCGCATGTTGGGGGCGAGCCGCAGATGCTACCATTCAGGGCTAGGTATGTGCACAAGCGACAAGCGTGGGGCATTGATGGTGTCAGGGTGGTGAGTCTCGCTGGGAATCTTGATATTGTCGTCGTCCGAGCTGTAAGGCGTCCGAGATGCTTACGCAATTTGCGCATCATTGCAGAGTCGTTCACTTCGAAGCCGTGATGTGTCTTTTTCACAATTTCCGACCAGTCCAACAGGCAGATGCCAGCACGAATGGAACGACCTGTGTCTGTACGGGTCTTACCGAGAGCACAAGTCTTGCCAGTCGGGGGGGTCTTAGGTTCAGCTCTCTGGGGTAACCTGTCTGCCCCACACGGGCTGCCACATGCCAGCACCTGGGAAGGGCGAATTCGAGCAATCCCACGCCAAACAAGCAGGAGGATGTTGGACCAAGGCCAGTCTCGCAGTCGGGGACAATTGTGGAGAGCTTCCGCATGAGATGGCAAAAATGCCCCACATCGTCAACGCAATTGGCACTTTCTGGAGCTTGGGGGATTGGCGGGACTGCTGTTCCGAGTAAGGTCCTGCCTAAGGAGGCGGAAGGATACAACAAAGGTTTTCCAGATGCTACTGGACGTTTAACCATGCGCTGCAGCACAGCATTGCAGGAAGTCTAGTGTTGTGTTCCGGATTGCTGAGAGAAGGAGCTTGTCGTTTCAATCGGGGGCTGTGCCTGTTTGCCTCGGATCAGGCGAAAGGTTTGTGCAGTAACCACAGCAACGTTGTGCAGGAGCTTGTCGAAGTCGGTGCCAGCCTGCAAATCTACGAGGCGATCAGGCTGTGAGCAAGGAAGCGGCGCCACACTTTCCTGCAACATCCAGGAGGGTGCTTCTCTCATGCAGCATGTGGACAGCAGGAGCCCCAGCAAAAGGGACCTTTGCTGTTCATGACTCCTCCTGTGAGTTCCATGTAGACACCTCTGCCAAGCGCATCTTAGCTCGCCCCTTCTTGAAGAGAGCAGAAACAAGTAGGACATCCGTAGAATGCTTCTTGTAAAGCTCACATATGGCAGGCCAGAGGCCAGGTGAACTGCCATCTTTTTGCCCGGTCAAACTGGACTTAAACTGGAGGTCTCACTTCGAGCTCTTCTCTCCCTCCTGCCTCCCGCAAAAACCCCTCCCGCCTAGCTCCGCTTCAGCTTGTCATACTCGTACGTGACTGACCTGCTTATTTCAGCATCTGGCACTTGGGCGCAAAGCCTTATATGCGGAATGCGCTTGTTGGTATGTATGAATTCACATATACGGTGTGAGCAAGGTCCAGAAACTCCGATCACAGTGGCCATGCCTTTGGAGGCTAACGGAGCAGGCCTTGACAGGGTGCCTCAACCAAAACCCTGTGGTGCCGAAACCGGGCACTGCTTCAACTTGCTCACAGCCGATCGTGGATTTTGCAGGATCTAGCTGGCACTTGCAGATCGGGGATCCGCAGGGCCATAAGCACCGTCCAATACCTCTTCAGCCAGGTTCGAGCACGAGAAGCTGTGTGAATGTTCAAATGCACCAGTTTCGGGCCTCTGTCCTCAGGTCAGCTTCTGATCTACGAGCCTCGAATGCACTTTTTGCGCGATTCTGCACTGTGGCCTTCACGGGACTTTCCCTGCTCTCTGGGCTCTCAGGAAGGAGCCAGGCTTGCACATGGAAGGAGCTTTCCTCTTGACAGACAGAATGCGCCGAGTAGCTGAGATTTGCTGAGTAGTGAACAATCACAGAAGCGACATCGCAACACGCAGGGCCGGTCAACTGCCACATGGAGATTTGACGATGGCATTTGCATACTATCGCCCCAAGGCTAATTACGACTCTGGATCGCAACTGGTGCTTGACATGTCTCGGTGTTTGCTGTTTGACCTTCGTTCAAGAAGCAAGCCTGAACTCAGGAGGCCAAACGCATTCAGCGAACTCTGGATCAGCTGCTGGCATCTCACAATGCTGCACAACGAGGTTGGGCAGCAATGGATCAAGAAGGACAGCCAAGAGAAACGATTCTGGAGGCCCGTCGAAGCCACCACCACCGAAGCCGCGAAAAAAAAATGAAGAATTTCGACGGTGGCTCAGAGTTCGAACGGTCACATTGGTGAGAGGGAACCAGTGCTGTGTCGCTCAGTGCCTAATGGAGTGCGTTCTCAGCTTGCATTTCTGAGGCAAAATGGACGAGCTGTAGTGAGATGCCTGTCCTTTTTGCATAGGCTTGTGCAGACTTTTGCAGTCATGCAGAATTGCAGGCTGCCAGAGTGCTCAGAGACTTGTAATCGTTAATGGTGACAGAGGTTGACTACAGTACAGTTTCGTTTCATTGTGAGGATTGAGTCTCTTAGACCTTGTTGGTGGGTCCGGCGCAGGAGCTTTTCTGCCGAGAGTCGAGAGCTTAGCCCTTCAGTCCGTCATGTCCGCGACACTTCCGACATGCTCGAGGGCTGTTGCCAAGGTTCTACCGAGAAGAGGGTTCCGCCCAACGACGGGAGCGTCGCAGCATGCACACTGAAGACAAACACAGCCGCCGGAACCCGAGGTGGTGATACCATCATAACACAAATCCTTTCTCAATTGCGTTCCACTGTTTTCGAGACCATTTGCGCGATGAAGAGCGCAAGATGTTGGAGGATGCAGCACACCTAGACAACGGGGGGGTGTTCGCAGTGCGATCAGTATGGTTTATTTACAGCTTGGGACATCTGGCGCCAGTCTCGCTGCTGAGGCAGAGCGGCGGAAAGAGGCCGCAGAGCGGCAAAGGTTCGCAGCAGAAGAAGCTCTCGCAGCAGCTGTACGAAGGAGTTCTGGTTTTGGGTGGTATGCAAAGTACTTGGACCAGCATGGACATTTTTCTGTTTGTGCGATTCTCGACAAAAGTAACTTCATGCTTCGCAGCAAAATCTTATTTTTTCTCAAGCCCGCAGTCACATCATCAACAGCTGCAGCATGTTTGCCATCGTTCACCAGTTGTACTGAGTTTACAGGGCTGATTGAATGCTTCCTTTGGGCGGGGACGGGGGGGGGGGGGGGGGGCAGGGCGGCCCCTTTAATGGCATCCTGGTGCTGCTGCATAACTTCCCTACGGAGCAACTTGCAAGCTGTGTTCATTTCTCGGCGTTTCATGGCTGCTCGCTTCTGTCCCTTGCTGGAGACACTTGGTTTACCTGGCCGATTGGTTGAAAGCTTCTTTCATTTCGTGTGACATTTGCATTAGAGATGCAAGTCCTTGTGCACAGATGCCAGCTCCAAACGACAGTGGTGGAACGAAGTTGCAGTGGCAGGGCAGCACATCCGTCCGAGGCAAGATATCTTCAAATTGAGACAGCTCATCGCCGAACGCAAGGAGCAGTACAAAGCTGGATGTATTTCGATCAATTCTATGAGCGTGTTGTTATACTTGCGACTCACGACGGTACATGGTCTAGGCAATTCTAGGCATGCCCTGAGATGAGCGAGAGTCAAATTTGCATTTGCAGGCAAAAGGTTTCGGCGCGGCGGCAATTTTTCAACTGAGAAGGAACATGATCAATGGGCAGTCCGCCGCTTCGGAGAAGAACGGGACCGCTGCTTGGCCGCGTCCGCCACATTGCAAATGCTTTGCAGCCCCGCTCAAGATAAGGCATGATTGCTCTCGCAGCAGGGATTTTTGGCTTCATGTCTTTTTTGTAAATGATCGCCTGCTGAGGAATGAGACTGGAAGCAAGGAGGATTGAACAGCTGGAAGGGCGTTTGGAGTTTCTGCTTCAAAGATTTCATCGACACTGTCGGACTTGATTTTGCTGGCTTCGTTGACTACACCGTCGACACAGAAGGCATCCGTCACACTGCTTTCGCGGTCGTCAGCTGGTTGTGATCCGGCGCCGAAGTTCGATGCAGCTCGCGCCAAACAGCGTTCAGGATATTGAGGGAACAGCCTGCTTGGAAACCGCACGAACGGCACATCTGCGGACTGGAAGCCGATGTTGATGGGACGACGGCAGGACTTGTATTCCATGAGGGAAGCCCCGGACAATTTGTCATGTGGCGGTGAAAAGAATGAAGCTGATTTGTCGAAGTTCGTGTCCACGTAGAGGAGTTGATGGGAAGCACTGCCCAGGAGGGATCATGAAAGGCGAGAAGCAGCGTCCATGGCCTCGGAGGATATGTCGTCTGCAGCTTTGCGCGAAGCATTGCGACTGGCGGCAGAGATTAAAGGCCTGTCGCCAAGATCATACAGGATGTGCCTGCTTCAAGTTGTTTCGGCCAGATGTCGAGGCTTTGCTGCTGCAGACGCCGAGTCTTTCGTGTGGAGGGAGATGTGTCGAGAGGTGCCTTTGGCATCACACCCATCGATTCGAAATTTGTGCCGGCTCATGCAGCAGAGGCAGCAGAAACAAGACAAATGGCTTCAGAAGATCAGCATTCGTCGTTGTGCAGGCCTTAGTTTTGTCGATGCCCTCCCTTTCCTTCGCCCCTGTAGGCTTCCCTGGTCGCTGCACCGGGTCGGTTAAATGAAGGAATGTGGACACATCCATGAACATCGCTAGAGCTGATACGGAGATGAGGTTGCGACTTAGCGATTCCAAGCCAGTACCTCGCTTCGATCAGCAGGTGCGGCAATTGAGCTTCACGTTTCTGCAACCTCGTTTCCGTTTGCCGTTTACACTTGTGTGGCTTAGCCGTCTTGTGGTCAATGTTCGCAATTGTGTCCCGTCGTTCGGCCAAGTCCGATTCCTTTCTGGTCTGCTTAGATGCTTTGCAGGCTGCTCGTACTGCAGCTCCTGACCTATCGGTTGGAGTCTAAGCACAATTTTGGGGTTCAAGGTTAGTCCAGAAGACTCCAGATGCACAGTAGACGCGAGAAAGCTTTGGCATCAGGTGTTGGCGAAGATGGTAGTGCCCGGACGCAGCCAGAAGCCAGAAGATCAGTATGGAGGCCAGACGCCGAGTAAGCCAGACAACGAAAAGCGCAGTCTCAGTCTAAGTTTCAGGCTTCAGGCCGAGGGGCACGAGGACGCTGGACCCATGGGATTCAAGCAGAATGCTGAGCCTTTTGGGATACTTTCGCACGTGGGCATGTTGGGCATTAGATGCGGCAGAGAGCTCATAGCATGTGTTCGCTCGGTGCAAGACGGCAGCAGCTGACCGAGGTGATGTTTCTGAGTCCGTGGCGAAGGGCGACAGGCTTGTGAAGACCAAGGAGGCTCATCGCCGCTCTTTAAGTCTTTAAGTCGTACGTCGCCCACACTGGAATCCGCCAGGCCAAGACCTGTGGCAGTTTGATGTGCCTGCAGCTCTGGGAGGCGCGGATTCGCTTTCTGCAAAGCAAGCTGCAGTTGTTTGATATTCTTCCTTTTTGCGAAGCTGCTACCAGGGCAACTCGCGATTCAGAGGCTCCTCAGGCGACCGCCTTGCGAGCTCTGTGGCAGATCCAATAAGAGCTTACTGGCGTGCTTGCTCAAGCCTGCATGGCGAAGTTGACATAAGCATTCAGGCAACAAGTTTGAGAGCGCGAGGCCAATGAATCTAGATCTTTCGCAGCCCCTACATCACAACGGCAGGATGAGTTTGAGCAGTCCATAACGGCTTCGTAGCGAATGTAAGCATACGACATGCAGCAGAAGTTATTGAACGTTCTGATGATGGCCCGCTGCGTGCCACTGGTGATATCGAAGCATCATGGTCTGGAGTGCCCGGGCTGATCCTTCGGTTGATACCTAGCGACGCGTGACCGCATGGCCACCGGGTTTTTGCTGTCGGCTGAGGTTCCCTGACTCGGAAAGTAATCTGCCTCGTCCTGGCTCTCTGGGTTTCTCTCTCGGTACAAGTTCGCAACAGCGGCTCAGACACTTTAAGGCATAGCATGGACCGCCTGTGCTAAGGCCGTCCTAGTTTGGTATTTGTTCCTGGCGCAGCAGGAGTGGGGTCGATCGCAGCAGGGCACCGAGAAGCATCCCTGCCGGCACAGGCTGCAAGCAGCCGGGAACGCAAGATACTGGCTGGCGCGAAGGCCCAATTGCACGAATCGGCCACTCCGAGTTCGACGGGGCCGAATCTCCAAACTAACTTCGGCATGCCTGTTCCCTTGTTCTGGAGGTTGTGGGCTCAAGAGTAAGGCAACTGCTGCGTCATGACAGGCGACCGGCCGTGATGGGTTCATGTTATGTGGCTCTGCACCAGCATCGGAGTAAGGTTCAACATGTTGTCTAAAGTTGTGGGAACGAAGCTTTCCTTCTTACTTTATTTTGCTCTAGCTGACTCTCACTCAGCTGACTCGGTTTTGGAAGGGCCACTTTCCCAGCAAGTGGGACAACGCTGGCTCCTGGTGCAGCACATCCATGCGGCAAGTGCGGCAGGCTTCCCAGTCGCGCAGAGGGCAGCTGTGCAGGAGTTCCATCAGTATGCAAGTCTCGCAACTTAGATTCGGGTCACGTGGATGGAGCTTGTTGCTGGGAGGCACGTGCAGTTCTCATTTTCGAAAAAGCTCAAGGGCCGAACTGTTTAGATGCAGGTGCGGAGCAATCGTGTTCGCGCAGCCTTTACTGACCAGTGGCTTGTTCTCAACGCTGTGACAGGTATGTTTGGTGTTCTTGCGTTTTGAGGCCAAAGTTGCAATGGTACACTTTCGATGTCTTCGGCGACACCGACAGCCAAGATGCAAGCTTGCCGGCCCGACTCTTACAAGAAAGGTCGATAGGAAGGCATGGATGCATGTGCAAGCCGGAGGCATCACGCCGGGGCATTGCATGTAAGGTGAGAGCATCTCCTCTCTTCCACCTGCTGCCCTCACGTCAGGAGCTTTGTTCAGGGTCGAAAGCCATTCCTTTACGCTCCAATGGACTCTAGTCAGGACTTGGACTGCGGCCTGCAGGCCTTGACTTGAACCGGAATGTCATGGGCTTTGCTGTTTGGAGCGTTCCAAGTTTTCTGTGAGGCAGTGAGCCAAGACGCCTTGAAGCTCGAGCTAGCCTTCAACCTGAGCTTGGTCTTCAGCTGTACAAGCTAGCCCAAGCGGGTTGAAGACTCTCCATGCAAGTGGGCCTTGGCGGAGCTTGCTTCAAACATGCTGAACACTGCAGGCTGCAGCAATGGCGTGCTTGCTTCTTTCTCCGCCTGGCTTCCCAACGAGGATTCCCAATGCAGACGATTGCCCAAACAGTTCATTTCCTCAGGGCGGCAAGTTCTGTCATTTGCCGGGTCTTTCTGCCTAGACTGTTTTGACGCATCTTCGTGCAGGATTCGCACTTCGTTCGCTTCAAGGCCCCGTGAACCCTCCGATACTCAAGTTCAGCAGGAAAGCAGAGCCGACAAGAGCAGGTCAGGCTTTGGCAATCGCCTTCGGCATCGGCCTGGCCTCCAGCTGGCTACAGACAGCTGGCGGCCGAGATCTCCTCAGCTACAAACTTGGTGAGCATAGCGACGGCCTACGGCGTATGTGGCCAGAAGGGAAAATCTGTCACCGCCTGCCTTTTTGATCTGCAGTCCAGGCTGGAACTTTGGAGGCTGCAGGGCCCGCTCAACTTGACTGAGACGAAGCTCCTAGACTCCGGAGAGGACAGAGACTAAGGCAAGAAGAGCAGTCGAGGTTTGCACGCGCCACCATGTGTGCATCTCCTTTCGTGTTGCAATCAAGTTTCAAGTGATATAGTCATAAGTCATAGTTCGAATACATCGTGGCAATCACCGTCAAAATCTCCACATGGGAATCAGCACCAGGAGTGGTCGCTGTTAAGTCATGTGTCAAACGGGCAACACGGCAAAACATCCCAAGTACTCGCAAGCCATGGGCGCTTGCGAATGTATGGAGCTGAAGCCGCATGGCCCAGTGGGCACGGGCAAAGTGTCGCGGCCGAAGAGTTTAGCTGGTTCACAGCGGCACGAGTGCGCAGTGCAACGCAGCGAATGGTTTCTTGCTGCGAAGGCAAGCATGGCGTCGGTGCATTCGCAGAAGGCCCTCGGACCAGTCAACGAGAGCATCCCTGTCCTGCTTGCCCGCAGCACGGATGCACACGTAGCTCTATGGGCGAGAAGGTTACTTCAACACTTCCAAGTAGCTCTCCTGCCCAGGTGAGGGAGAAGCTCGGAAGAAGCTCACACTACCGATCGAGAAACTTGTCAGAATCACGAACATGTGATGAAATTACTTTCAGCGTCAAGTTCTCGCTGCTCAGGAGTCGGTCTCGTCCAGAGGAGTCTGTGCATGTGGGGAAGGTTCCTTGGCTCAAGCGGCAGCGTTGGTGCCATTTTCCTGTAACTGTAGCCAGGTCGCAGCGTCTTGTCATGAGGTCATGCAGAGCTTGACACCGGCACATGAAGTCAACATGTCTCCGGGCAGGAGAGTGAGTGAGTGTGGGACTCCAGCTTAAGGAAGTGTCGCTGGGAAAGCCTAAGTCTAAGTCTAGGGAAGTGGGCTGGGAGGACACCTTTTGCCGTCCAGGCAGCCGGCGAGGCCTGGGACGTAGCCGCGTAGCCATTTCCAAGTCAGGCATTGCGCCCGCTGCGAGGTCTTCATACTCTCAGAAAGTTCGTGTGAATCTCGCAGACATGTTTTGGAGGCCCGCGTCTCCTTGCTTGTGCATGAAACTGCATGGCTTGCCGAGCAGGAAGTTTCATTGAAGCTTCGGCAGCTCAGAGCAAAGTGGCCGCGAGCGAGTCCAGGTCCAAAACATCCCAGCGAAAGTACCCGGCGAGTCGAAAGCAGAGCGAGTCGCTTCGCCAGGACCGCGCCTGGGCCGGGAGAAGTGTGAAGCCATTCGGGCTGCTCGGCAGCAAGCTCTCCCCAAACAGTCAGTGCCCATGCAGCTTGCAATATGAGATTGAGAGTGAGAGAGAGAGACAGCGACGTGCAGCCTTGTCTTTCGTGTGCAGTTGTGCATGCTGTCACTTGTTTGTCCTGACTACAAAGGGGTACCGAAGCCCGAGAGTCGAACTAGTTAAACAAGCTGCGAGCTGGAGTACAGAGCATGTTTTAGCCAGTGTGATGAGGCATGATGAGGCCCAGGGGGTGGTTGCTAGAGTTCGTCAATGGGGGATGCCAGTGTTCTGAAACCCGCGACCTCATCGAGAGTACTACGCTGAGACCCTTGGGGAGGGGTGTGGAAGAAGAGACAGCGACACGACCTAATAACCAGTGCGTGTTCGCATGCGGGGGGGCTTTGCTCTCCTTGACTGTGTGGAAGAAGAGACAGCGACTCCCTACCTCGTTGGTCGCATTTGCCCTTTGATTTTCCCAGCCAGCCATAATTTGGCAGAGGGTGGCACAAGCGGAATGCCAGCAATTTGGTGTAGCACTGGTCGGGGACCAAATCCACCGTGTGACCCTGTAGACGTTGGATCATGCGATTTGTGATACAGCTCCCAGCCTAGCCGGTACTCGACACGACTCCTAGAGTCATGAACTTTGCCTTACCACAGCCCATTGCCTATTTTAATTTGTCGTGGTTGACGACACCCCGGGCAATGCCTTCCCAATATAGGGCCCCCTCTACAAGGCCTCAGGTGATTTTCATAGGGCTACGGGGGCCCGGGGCGGAGTCGGAGCCCGGAGACTCTACGCAGCCCAGACTCGGGCGACGTAGCGCATGCACGGGAGGGATAGGCTTCGGGCCTGGAACCCCCCACGCACAGCCACTCAGCAAGCACAACCCATGTACTGATGTGTTTGGGGTTTCCGCACATTTGGCTACTTATTTGCCGGATCGCATCTACACGATTGCTTTGATTGAAGTTCAGCCAGTTCAGGCTGGGAGCACTGCTGGCAGCACACGCTTGCCATCAAGTCGCAGCAGCCCGACAGCGACCCGCTGACGATGATCCTCTGGCTATCCCTGCAAGAATTCTGAGCTTGCGCATGGTCGGTAGTGAACAAGACGGTTCCGAAGTCTGACAGCACCGACGGTCTCCTGGAACTCCCTTGATGCATGTGCTGCCTCATTGTCATCTGAACCTCCACACTAAAGACACGTGCAGCGCAGCAGACGCACATGCTGGGCGGATGTTTGGGAAGATGTCCTTTCAAAATCTGCTCTAGTGTCCCTTGTCCAACACAGCATGTTTGCCCAAACGGGCGGCATAGCTTTCCTTGGAGCTCCGAGCCCTCGGAGTTATAGAATTTGTGGAGCGCCTTGAACTTTCCAACTGTGTTAATGTATCGTACCGACTCCGTAGACCAGCCAGCAGACTGCACATGTCAGCTGAAGGCAAGGCTGCCTTTGGAGTCGAATTTGATGGCCCACCGCCAGCTTTGACATGAGGGACTCAAAGAGACCCCTGCACACGCCGCAGGGTCCTGAGCCACGAATTTTGTGACGTTGGAGCTTTGGCCACGTCGTCTCAGAGGAGACTCCGGGGGTCGTAAGCCAAGCGCAACAGGCACTTTTGAGTGCGCCGGCCGACTCTTCCGGACACGACTCCTTCTCAAACCATTCTGGAGGGGCGAGAGCTCTAGGAAAATGAGTTCTGGAAGTCAGGAGAGTTAAGCCCGATGCATCGTCTGTATCACATTCGGGAAGCTCTCGCAGGACGAGTTTGATGCGGTGCTTGGGTTACCCGTAGTGGTCAACAAACGCATCTCAGCTCCAGTATGGCATCAGCTGGGTGACATTAACTTTCAAGACAATCTCGCGTTGCAATCTGCTTGGCTCAGGCTTCTTCTTGGCTGCCAGGGCCTGACGCTCAAGCCGTGTGCGTGTGAGATGTTGTTGTAGCAAGGTAGAGCACCCCATGGGAGTCGTGACCACACGCGGGAGCAGCGATTCGTTACTGGGCCAAATTCATCGGCCGGAAATTGAGGGTTATGTTACATGCACATTCTTGAATGTTTGTAGTTCCATGGTCAGAGAAGTCACTGAAGGCCAGACCTTTACGCCGGGCAACTGCAGCACCTGAAGAGCCTGGCTAAGCCGACAAGCGAGGCACACAAGACATCCAGAAGATTATAGAAGATTACAGACCTCAACAGCCTTTTGCTCTGCTTCGTGGCGACTGTCACGCCAGGCACCCTGGGATTATGGTTTTGTCATCGGTGGTTTCAGCGAAATGTCTCAGGACCGCCCTTTTTGTTCGGATGCCGAGACATGTTTCCGGATGCCGTGGCCGTCAGGCACGAAGATCTTTCCTTGGCTACCTGCACTCACAGCGGCCTGGGCGCCGAAGCCCAATGGCGGGATGCCTAGGTGTGCATTACGCAGCCCGTAACACGAAACTGCGCCGCGTCCCTTGAGTTCGGCGAGGTCCATTACAACAGCTGGTATGATTTCTACAGTTACCAGGAGCTGCAGGACATGGCCTTGCATGCGCGATGCGGGATGCTGTTGCAGGACGAGGGCTTCAATGGTGGCTTCAAGGACTGCAGCTTTTCTGCGACCATGCGGTCCGAAAGACCCTCTTCTCTCTCCAGGATCCGTGGCCCAACGAGACTTTGATAGCTTCGCTACGACCGGACAAGATGAGCGAAGGCTGTGGAGGGGTTCCAGAAACCAGGGTCAGGTTTTCAAGCAACCACCAACCGCCCGAGCCATGTGCTACGAACAGCGTAAACATTCCCGGGCAACCAGAGGGTCAACATCACGCCACCTGTGATGCAGGCAGCTGTTTGCAAAGGGTCGAGGCCTTCGGTGAGGAAGTGGTCCGAAAGCGTGGTGCGAAACTGGACTGCTCAGTCAGATGCGACGTGTCATGCGCTGCACTTCCACATGCTTGTCTTTTGGTGATCGGGTGTGGCTCTCGCACCGTGAATTGCTGCAGGACTCTTTTCTGTGGGATGATGGGTGGGACAATCCACAAACACTCTGGGAATTCGACACAGCTCGATTTCCTCGACGCTTTGAGAAGGTTGCCAGCAAGGCCAAGGAGTATGGAGCTGGCACAGGTGTTTGGCTTTCGCCTTGGGGTGGCTATGGCTTCACACAGGAGGAAAGAGTGAAATATGGCAAGCGTCATGGCTACGAAACAAACTACAACCGCAATATCCAGTCAGAAGCCTTCAGCCTCGCAGGAAAGAAGTACCGAAAGGCGTTTCATGAAACTGCCATGAGCTTTCGGCGTGAGCAGGGCGTTAACATGTTTAAATTTGATGGTGTGACCGGCAATCCCACGGAGCTAGGTATGGAGATGGAGGCAATGTTGCAGACACTTGCGGCTTTGCGAAGCGAGAAGGTGGATAAGTCTGACGAAAAAGATGAAGATGATGTTTGGATTAATCTAACCACTGGCACATGGCCTTCTCCCTTCTTCCTGTTCTGGGCAGACTCGATTTGGCGAGGTGGTCCTGACATAGCCACAAGGCCGCGAGATTGGTACGGCCCTGTCAAGGCGCCGGACCATTTCCAAAAAGGCCACTTCACTTTGCCATCACTGAGCGAGATAGGTTTGGACGGGCTAACTGGTCGGCAGCGATGGATTCGGTGGAGAAGTATGGTTGTCTACATGTTGGTCGCACGCCGGTCAACCTTTTTCCCTCTGTCCCAGCTCATGATCCACGGGGTCGTCGTCGCTTCTCACGGTGATGCCTTGCATTGGGGGCTGGACAAATACGACAGTGTCGATTTCACTCAAGAAGTCTGGTCCTTCGTGGCACTGGGACTGCAACTGCAAGAGCTGTACGTGGCACCACGCCACATGACTGCTGAGGCATGGGACATATTGGCAGAGGCTTTGAAGTGGTCTCGCCAACACGCAGCAGTCCTGCGCGACAGTCACTGGGCGTTCGGTGACGTCACCAGGTACAAGGTGTATTGCGTGGCCTCGTGGGACGTGGTGAGCATGCGTGGGCACATGCTTTTCCACAATCCGACAGGCAGGATGATTTTTTCAGTTTGAGTTGACATCAACAGCATCGAACTTGCCAGGAGCTCCGCAAGCCAGCATGTGACCTAGTCTATTCAAAGATGAATCAGAGCCGCTGCTTGAGCCCATTGCAGCGCGTCCAAAGGCAGTCACTTCAACTTGAACGAGGCCAGGCCCCCAGGCCTTGCCAGGCAATGTCTTTGCTGAGCTCAGGTCTTAGAGCTTCCGCTTGCCCAGAGGGGTGAGACCTTCGCTGTCAAATTGGTGAAAAGCGCCTTCCGGCCTACCACAAAATCGCCAGCCTCTCAACAAATGTCCTTTCCTCTTTCAAGTTCCGTGTCTTGAAGTGCAGGGAAGCCATTGAGCGCCTCCCTGGATGGAACTGCACATCGCTGGGAGCCACGGGCAGGTGCTGTTTGGTCTGCAACTGTCCCGACGCACATGTCCTAGGACATTCCGTGAAAGGAGCACATCCGCATGCAGGCTGCGGGCTTTCTAAACAAGGTACTGATGGGATGGGACTGGGAAATGCTCACAGAGTGAGGTTGTTACCTACTGCGCAAGTTCAAGTAGTCCTTGAGGCGACAGAGGCTGGCCACGGTTGTTTTGTAGGCAAGCTGTACTTCGGCAGGTAAGTGCGCACTTGCCAGGTGCTGGTCCTTTCCGTGGCGAAACGAGAGTGAGCCAACCGTTATCTACCTGAAACCAGTCTGCCATTCGTGGCAGTAGTCACCAGTAGTCCAAGCAATTTATGTTCTGTGGTTGCTCCATCGATGTCGACAGCGATCCGACCATTGCCGATCCATGTACAGCGGCGGAGCAGCACAAAAGGTCGTTGCTTCTCATGAGTCTGAATCTCTGCGTGCACAGCCGCCACGAATGCACCAGGCAAAAGTTTGAGTCGCAGACGCCCAGCGAAGTGGAGTCGAGCACCCAACAAAAGAAAATGTCCCTGAGACTTCCTGCGAGAGTGGCAGTGGCAACCGGACGCTGACGGAGTCCAATCAGGTCGTCCAGACGACGATCGCCCGGAGCGGGTCTCTGCTGCGCTGTCTTCAGAAGACCTCGGCTTGGATGGCTTGGCTGCAGGCAGCCACGCTCATGCTATGGTCATCTCTAGTTTAAGGCTTTCAGGGATGTGGCACACAGAGGCGTCATTTCAAGGTGGTTTGCTGCGGGTGGTCTTCCCTTCATATCTGCGAAACATCGCTTTGACTCGTGGCCCATGGTTGTGATGATAGACGTGGTCGTGACAGCGATAACCAGCTTCATGCAGCTCCACGTCCAAAGTGTTTGCAAAGCCTGGCTGTCAGGCCTCGAGGATTGGGGCTCTGCTCGTGCCCCAGAAGCCACGCTGACTCCACGGAGCAAAGTCAAGCAGCCTCTCCTATACCAGGTTGCTGATGTGGTGCGGCTGGAGATTCGAATGGAAGGCTGTCAGGGCAAGAGGGCCGATTGCCGTAACCTTTCTGTTTGTTCCATCCTCGTTTTTCAAGGCCTGGAGCAGCTTCCCATGCTTTCCAGAGTGCCTCAACTGCGTGCCCCAAACCCAGTGAGGAGTTGCAAAAAAGGTTGAGTCCGAGTGAAACTTGTTGCGAGATCTTGGTGCTGAGCGGCAACAAGATTTCAAGCCTGGTCCAAGCCCTGGGCTGCTGTGGCCTCATGAGGAGAAGTGCATAGTCTGTCGAGGAGGCTTTGCACGGCTGTCCCAAGCTTGAGGACGATCCTGGTTGTTGAAGCTGTGATTGAAGCTTTGTCCAAAGAAGGAGTTGGTCCTCTGCCAAAATGCGCTGACGTGCTTGGATGGGTCGACGGCCTGGAGTGGGATGGAGTGAATTGAAGCGCATGGCTGTGTGTTCCAAGGTTGCGGCATCTGAGGCACCTTTCAGCTCTGGCCCCAGGTGCCAGGACATGCGGGAAAGTCCCTCACACTGGCAGTGGCTTCTATTTTGGAGAAGCACATGAGGTCCTCAAGGCGACAATGAACGCCATCACTGATGCAGAGGCATGAGAGCTGGCAGCTTACTGTGAGCAACAATAGCTCCTGCCTTGGAGGATTTGGCACAGCTGCCACAGCTTCGAGCCCCCGTCCCAAACACACACAGCAAGACAGCAGAAGTCTCCAAGCTGTTCATTCCAGGTGGTGGACCTTAGCAAGAATCGGTTGGCCTCAGCCCGGATCCCTGGCTGCGAGTCGAGTCGCACCGGCGCGGTGTGGTGCGGCTATACAATGTCGCCCGAGGTGCATCTCTCAGCAAAAGGCCTTGGCAAGCCTGGCACAGAGATTAAGTTTGCTTCGGTGGCAGCCTTGGCGATGCAGTTTGCTTGCGATGGGCGCTACTGAGGCTTGTTCTGTACAGAAACTCCTTGCAGTCCGCAGCCTTTTTGCAAGAGTTGCCGAAGACTCAGAACAGGGTCGCCGTAATCGTCGTGCTATACATATGCGTTGTTGATAAGGCCATCCTTGACCCAGCTGGACCTCGGACGAAATAAGCTCACGGAGCTGGATGCTGCAATCTCCGAGTGGCCTCGGCTGTATCTGCAGTGAAGTGCGGACATTGTGGAGCCAGGTGGAACCCCGTGCTTACGAAAGCTTTCCTCTACGAGAACTCTTTGGATGGGCCCTCGGATGCCCTCGGAGAAACGGAAGACAGCACGGCCTTCTGCTTGCCCGAGGCTTCGCTTCCAGAGCTCCACCTGCCCTTGCTCACCGATCTTTGGGTCCCCTCCCGTCTCCCGTCCCAAGCTGCTCACTTCTTTGCTGTGTTCCAAAAGAAAGGGACTCGGACGACAAATGTTCTTGTTAGCGTCGGCGCTTCGCATTTGCAGCCCTCAAACGAGTCGGAGGGTTAGATACTGGTAACCTCAGTCTAGACCCACCGCGAACTCAGACTCAAGATGTATCTAAAAACGCCATTCGATGTATCGGACTGTGAGCTTAGCAGTGACGCGTTAACACAACACCGAGCGAGCCGAGAGCTTGTCAGCACAATGGAGCAGTGGCCTTGTGCTCAAACCCGAGCCTGCCGCGGTCGGACACCCGGGCACAAGCGGTTTTAGACTGTTTTGCCATTTGTTTGTTTTGTGGGTGGGGGTCGGGGTGGGTGGGTGAGTGGGTGGGTGGGTGGGTGGGTGTGGGTGTGTGTGTGTGTGTGTGGGTGTGTGTGTGTGTGTGGGTGTGTGTGTGTGTGGGTGTGTGTGTGGGTGTGTGGGTGTGTGGGTGTGTGGGTGTGTGTGTGTGTGTGTGTGGGTGTCTGCGTGTCTGCGTGTCTGCGTGTCTGCGTGTCTGTGTGTCTGTGTCTCTCTGTCTCTCTGTCTCTCTGTCTCTCTGTCTGTCTGTCTGTCTGTCTGTCTGTCTGTCTGTCTGTCTGTCTGTCTGTCTGTCTCGGTCGCTCTCGGGCGCTCTCGGTCTCTCTCGGTCTCTCTGTCTTTGTCTGTCTCGGTCTCTCTCGGTCTCTCTGTCTCTCTGTCTTTGTCTGTCTCGGTCTCTCTCGGTCTCTCTGTCTCTCTGTCTTTGTCTGTCTCGGTCTGTCTCGGTCTGTCCGTCTGTGTGTGTGTGTGTGGTGTGTGTGTGTGTGTTTGTGTTTGTAAAACTCAGACACATAAGCCATGCATCCATGAGCTGTGCCGTACGACTTGGATTGTTCCGTGCATATTCTGATACTGACGAGAAAGTCGGCGAAAAGCATGGCGCCAATTGCTAGTTGCCACTGGATCGGCAGGTTGGACCTCGCTGCGTGCAGCAAGCGATTTCGACAGATGGCTGCCGAGACCTCAGCCAAAGGCCGCACGATCCTCAATGACTCCTGCCTATGTTGCGCGTGAGTCACCGCATGATGCTTAGGCCGAGGATTTTCACGGAGAGGAAGACGCTCCTCTGACACCCGAAAGGGTGAAGGCGAGGACAACGACTTTTGCTAAGATGGTTGGAGCACCACAGCCAGAGCTGAGAGGAGTTCAAGAACTCCAAGTTTCAAAAATTGGTGGAGGTGCGCTTGCAGTGTTTGATAGCGACGTAGTGTCCAAGACCGGCTGCTGAAACTGATGACAGGTGTATAGTAACGGCTTGAAACCGCTTGCCGGGATTCCCAGCTCGCGAGAGGTTTTCAGCAGATGAGTCGGTCTTTTGTGACCACGCAAAGGTTCAAGAGAACATCCGCTTGCGAGAAGAGCTTGGCCTAGATCTGGCCGCAGCCTTTGGCCGATGGCGTGCAGTCCGTGTAGGATGTGACAGCGACGATTTCACTTAAGCGACCTGATGGTCGATGCTACAGACTATGTGCTGGTAGAGCTACCCCGGAATTCGGATGTGCACTCCACACAAAGATAGAAGGCGCGGATAACTGCATGGTTTTGACATGAGACCGGGTCGTTTGTCAGCTCAGATTCAAGCCGAATGCCCTGCATTGAGGGGGAAGAGCAGCGGAGGGGGTGGTGCTGGCGAGAGCACACCGACGTCATCAAACGCAGAGCGATAATTGAAGCATTCTCCCCACACCCTAAATCCAAAGTCTCATCATGTGACAGCGCGAAAGTCATGGAGACGTGCAGCCCAAGGGCCTACACACTGAGGATACTCCGCTGGACTGGGATTCGGATGAAGATTCCGGCGGCGAAGAGCATTCGCTGCAGGCACTGGGAAAGTCATTCTGTGAGCCGATCGCTCCAAGACTCCGCCTTAGGTTGGCTCGCATGCATCAGCTGCCAGCTCAGAGGAAATCATGTCGTATGGCAGTGCCGACTAACCAAGCTCTCGAAAAAAGCTTTCAGAGAAAACCACCAGCAATTGGCATGTAAGCACCAAAGCCGTGAACAAAAGCTTCTGCAGAGTTCATTTGCAGGACTGCAGTCGCTGCATAGCTTTCGCAGTTGCTGCTTGCGCACCCATCGGACATCGAGCTGGTTTCCCACAGATCTGAGCCTAAGGCCTTCGTGGAGCGCGCCAAGTCGGAGCCTGCAAGATTACGAAGTCAGGCGCAGGTGCGGACCATGCGTGCAGTTTGCATTGGAGGTTGTCCTAAGAGTTCCTGCCTTCCGTGCACAGACAGCCGCTAGAAGTGCCAGAGGGTGGACGTCAGCTGTTCAATGTCTTTTGCATTTGACCAGGATGAACTCGAGAGCAAAAAGTCGTTTTGAACTCGGTGTTTTGACATGTTTGTCTAGCAGTCCGAGCATGCGTCATTGATCCCAGACTCCTTTCAGGTCGTCGTTCAATTCAGACCGGTATCAAGTACTGCCTCAGCCTGCAGCTCATTTGGATGTGTGCAAAGTTGAACTCGACTGCTTGCATCGGACATATGATCGGGAGGGACTGTGCTACTCTGTCCTTTCAGGTTCTTGAGCACACCGCTGGATAAGGCAACCGAGCGACAGTTCAAGGCAAGACCTGGGCTAGGAAAATCCGTCATGTCAATGTGAAGTCCCTGGAATTCCCTGGAGGCCACCTTGGTTCAAGACCTGCGCCGCTTTTCCGAAGCGGTGGAGATGCAACCTTTGGGCCAAGATGAACGCATGAGCTGCTACGACCTCTTCGTCAACACGTTGAGCCAGCTCAGGCCAGATGCTGCTCACTTGGAGGAATCTCTCCGATCAAGTCTTTCTCAGTGCTCCGTGCTGTAACACCTGCCACTCCCGGAGGCTTCCTATGAGTGCTGACCCCGGGAAACTCGAGTGCGAGGAGTACTGCATCAGAGCTCGTACTCGCTCAGGTCCAAACTCGGAAATTGCACTTTTCTGGGACATCCTGGGTCCAGGCCTTGGGAGGAGCAAGACGTGTTGAACACGTTTCCACATGTTTCCACCTTTCCAGTACGCTTCCGCATCTTGCGAGGTTTATTGCTCATTGCCTACGACGTTTTCGCTATCCCCTTGCAAGCATTTCCGCTAGACGAGGAAGCCGACGGGATAGATGGCATTGGCCTTGCTTCGACGACGAATCGTCTCTGTGAGAGTGCAGACGGTGCTGCTACTGTGCTGCTGGTTCTCGTGGTCTCAGAGAAGGGTGCAAGCTCCACATGCCTACCGACTGCAGGATGTCTTCACCGAAAGTATGGGTTGGATAACGCTGTGCTTCTGGACCACTGACATGGCACCTGAGCTGCTGCATTCGGATACTTTGGGGTTGTTCGCGAAAGCGTGAGCTCAGGTTGTGAGCAATATCGTTGGCTATTTTGACGGACCTCAACTAGTGATGCAGCAGTATCGCATTACGTTGAGCCGCTATTCTGCAAGCTCACATCTTAAAGATTGCATTGAGTTGGCATGCTGTGATCGGTTGCAGCTCGCTTGGCATTGTTGTCATGCTTAGGATACTTGCGAACTTGGTTTGTGCTGGACGCAGTGGTGGTGATACCTGATTGGTTTACAAGGCTGGCGCAGGAGTGCACGGGCTTGACCAGCTGAAACGCACAGTGGAGTAGGCACAAGGCTTCGATGTTTGTCCACGTAGCATCTTTTTCCAGGTCCCAGGTAAATGTCCTTCCAAGTTCGATGAGAGAGCTAGGGCACACGATCGCCTGCGAGTCTCGAATCTAATATCGAAGCCCTGTGTTGATTGGTAGTCTTGCAATTCCTAGACGGAGATTTCAGATTGGCATTAAACGTGTGCAAATATGTGTGTGTGTATATAATATATATATATATATATGTTTATACACACACACACAGAGATGCAGGTTGCAAGTTGCAAGATATGTGGTTGGGTACAAGCATTCTTGGTGCATCAGCGCTCGTCTGACGAGTCGTCACGAAAGCTCCCTCAGAGGGGAGCTTCGTTCAATACCTCACAACGTCAGCCTTGGATAGGGGGGTCCAGTGGGGCAGGGCTCCGGCACGAGAAACGGTCCTTTCTGATGCTTTTGATGCTGGCCCCAGCGTTCCTTCTGATTCCTTCTGATGCTGCTCAAGGCGCTGCTACTTCAAGTCCTTTGCACTTCGGGGCGACACTGATGTGTGAGCCAAGTTTGCTTTTATGCGTCGAGCACGTCCTCCTTTATTTATCCGCATGCCCTGCATCAGCTAACATCACCTGCAGCATTTTATGCTACTGTGAATATGTCTGAATATACCCAAAGAATCCCAAAGATGTTTTTCCGTGTGTATATACATAGATACACACGTGCACTTGTGCATATGCGATTCCATTGTTTGTTTCTATGACTCTGTGCACTTCCACATGCATGCTTCCATGTCTCCGTGTGCCCATGCCTGCATGTTTGTCTCTGTGTACTCGTATGTATGTGTGTATGTGTGTCTTCGTTTACGCATGTTTGTCCGCATGCATGTGTGTGTGTGTGTGCGCATGTCTGTCTCTCCGAGTCGTGTCTCAGCAACCCCGTCCACTGTAGAGCTTTCGTCCAAGCAGCGTTAGTGGCATGACAGCTGCACGTGCACAATGTTTCTACGCACACGACTCGGCAAGTGCTGGACTGCTGGACGGTTCCTGAGTTTTTGTTTTTGCTACAGTGTTGTGGAGGACAGCAGCTCTGCCTCTCGGTCAGCAGTGGACAGCAGTGTAAAGTGAGCGACTTGCCTTTTGGCTTTCCCTCACATGGTTGCTGCAGGGCTATTTGGCAAGCCTTGGGCGAATCCTTCGATCTGCACGTGCCATTCGTGTCATTCGCCTGTTTCTTGGTTGGCAGTGTGCAAAGGGAACAGAGGAAGCTTGGCAGCCGCTCTTATGCGTGCGAGCGCACCGGCTGATGAGCCTGTTATCCAGTCGCCTGGAAAAGCATCATGGCTAATGTGCCAATGCCCGCAGACCCCATAAGTCGGTTCGTTTGTGTTGCAGTCGATTTCCGTATGCCTGCAGGGTGCTCGACGGTCAACAGTTGAAAGGCCTAAACAGTGCTCCCACCTCTTTACATGCTCTCTGAGGCTTCGCTTATTGAAGCTCCAAAAGATGATGAACAAGTTGTATGTGGCCTCTTCGCACATAGAATCTTGAGAGGACACGAATCTGAGACTCCTGTCGTGCCGACATCTGAGGACTTCATTGATTCCGAATATTTGTTTATTGTTATGGATATACTGCGGCTGCTGCTGTTCATTGTGGCTGCTTGTCGCCAGTTGACCTTGCCGTGGAGTGAAACCACCCGCTTCTTGCCTCTGGAGACACCGATTTGTTCGCTCAGGTTCTGAATCACGTCATCGCATGTTTGTGGTACCTCCTGGGCTACATAGGCATGAGACACTTGAATTGCGAGCTTTGATTTCTTTGGTGGCGTGACTGTCCCCGGTGCACAGGCTACGAATCTGGCGATTATAACTGGCTTGAATATACTGGGTACACCAAGGTGCCTAGCTGTAGCTGATTTGCTGCAGTGGGACATTGATGAAGCCAGTCCGTGCTGAAACCTGTTGCGAAAACTGAGGTGATCGAAGGTTCAATTGCATGGCAGTACACCACCGCTTTGCATTGGAGTCTGACGCAGTTCACTCCAGCAGGCACCTTCATTTTCGTCCCCTTTAAGTATGTGCTAACAGAGGCCCTGGCAGCCTTTAAGCAAAAAGAACTCCACGAAGTTACTTCAAGCAGCTAGCAGCCACGAGCAAGTATGAGTTGTGGTGTAAAGCGCGGCAAAAGCAAGGAACGTCGTACTACATGTATGACCCTTCTGGCAGGAATGGACGTATTCGCACGGAATGTCCCAGAGCGCATCATGTCCGTCATCGTTCTCGGATTTGCGGTCATCATCTTCTCTTCAGTCCTTGCCAGTGCTCCTTGCCTGCATGACGGTCTAACAGGCGCTGACAGCGCACAGTCTCGGACGGTTTTTACAGGATGTCCCAATCCTGCTGCAATCTTAAGGCTCCCGGCCACATCAATTGTGCTGTTGTGTTGAATTACTTGCCGAGCACATGCAAAGGTCAGCGCATCTATGACAGCTTTGAGGAATCTGCAGGTGATGCCCAAGATTGCCTCCAGGCAGCATGGAATCAAAACGAAATCTGTGTCCACATTGACAGGGAGACTCGAAGAAGCAGTTTTGGCTCCTCCGTAGATATCTACGGCGAAAGCAGGTGCGCTGGTGTTTGCAAACAGATGCAGCTATATCACAGCTGCACCTTGCGATCTGCAATGTTTGTTGCAATTGTGTGCAAGAGGTCACAACACAATCTCGGGTCCGAATCATCAAGTTCTTGGAGCACGTCGTCATGATACAGGCAAGCTGAGCCACTACAGTAGATAACTTCTTTCGGCTAAGGCAGTGCTGTGTTTTGACCAGGCAAAAACGGTGAAGTCCAGTGACGTTTCCCTTCTGGGGAAGCTGTCCCAGCCCCTCAAAGAGCTTCTGGAGTATGAAGTCCACAAGGAGACTGCTCTCGGCTCAGCCTCCGCAGACCTTCAAAGGCCTCACAATCCAGACATGCACTCGACATATGCTGGCACATGCTGCCACCAGGTCATGCTCCACCCCTTCTTCCACTACCTGGGTGAGTGCGTTCATTCGTTGATGGTCTCGTGCTCAATCAGATCGGCACAAGAACTACTTCACGAGACATGGGTGTCAGGCCTGCTCATGGAAGCACCAGTCTACAGCGTGGAGTAGCAGCGAAATGTTATCTCCCAGAAACTTGTAGGCGACATAAAATGGGCACGGGGCACAGACGGCCGTTGGAGGGCCGTGCAGCAATGCCGCACAGTCTGAAGGTTTTACTAGTAGCCCATTGGGCATTCAGGGAGTCATAGACATACACGCTTCACTCATTAGGGCTGTCATTGCGCTGATGCGTTGCTCCTCCTAAGGAAGGTGAACTGCCGTGTGATATGCGGCGCTTGCAGAATGATATCAAGATACGACAGCAGGCAAGTCCCACCGAAGGCTTGATATGGCTACACCAGGGGAACAAGGCCAATAACCAACTTATCGACGTCTCTGCTTCTGAGTTGCGGCGCAGTCGTGACGAATGCGCATGGAACCAACGTCGCAACAGCGTGTCCTCTCCGCCCTGGACTCTGAGGCCACAAACCCTCGAGCATAGGAAAGGGAGATAGGGAGGTATCCTGCTCCTTCACTGGATCTTCTGGGCTTTATACTTTATAACCAATTTATAGCCTTGGGGGCTACCGACACCGACATTCCAAATTGTTTGGCCTCTACTACACGTCGAGCTCCAGTTGCACAAGTGAGCAACCAGGTCAAGCTGTGTGCGGCCACGCTAGCGCAGGCAAAGCTATCGGGTGCAATTGTGGCACGGGGTGCAAATTGTCGATCCGAGAGCTGCACGTGAAACAATGCAGGTGCAGTTCGCACTTCAAGACTGCATTTTTCGAGCAGGACACTCTCCGGCATTCAGACGGGTTAGTCTTCCTCACACGTGACGAAATCCCGGGGCAGACTTTCGAGAGGGGACTCGTGAACATATTTGCTGCTATAGATTTCGGGCAGTCTGCACTTGAACGTACGGTGCACACATGTATTATATATATATAATATTATATATATATACACATGAAAAAGTATACACATAAACACCATGTGCTACACGACAGTACGTGTGCGGCATTACATACTTGCGTACATGTTACATACATACATATATATATATATCTATATACATATATATGTATATGTATATATGTTTATATATAAATATAGATGTATACATATATATATATATGTACACACACCTGCGACAAGACCTCACGATAGATACTTTTTAAGTTGATACATAGTTGGGTACATGCAATACCATACCATGAGATGCGGTTCGATACAATACAATACCAAACAGTACAATACGATACAATACAACGTGAATGGACATTGCTTGCTGACGTACAAAGTTCATACATCCTTTCATTCTCTGTGTGTTCGCATGTAGAGTCAGTAGAGAATGTCCCGGCCATTGGCCGCATTGGCCCCCGGTCCGACGATTTCGCTGTTTTAAAGGCTTATGAGAGGATGCACAGCGGTGCGGCGGGGTCCAGGAAAACAATCCGCAAGCCCGTACGAATCGGATTCCGGAAGAACACCTCTCCCCCGAATCCTCTCCCAGTGCTGATTTCAGTTCTGCTTGCAAAGGCGACCTGGGTGAGCACATGTATTTCATTACCAGCCGAAGCCTGAGACAGTGCCGGTGCTCCTTGCAGCCCTTGCTTTAGTTGAGCCCAGAGTGGGCATAGATGATCCGTACGTTGGATGCTTTAGCAGAAAGCAGCTTCAGCACAGACAGAATTTGACATCATTATCCCTAGAACGGTGAAGTGTTTTAAGTGGGCTGGACAAGTTCTGTTTGACCACAGAGGCTCACCGTAGACTTGGGGCGGCCCGGGCCCGACCCGGCCACGGAGGCATCAAAATTCGGTTTCTTCAGATAAAACATCTGTTTTCGTACCGATTAACATCGTTACCCCGAATACTCTAGACTGCAGCTGCGTCCACTCAGAGCGCACTCAGGTGGAACCGCCAAGTATGCGTACCAGGTCACAAAGACGCAGCGATGTGAGGCATGCACTGCGTTGTGCCGCATTGGGTATTTGGCCGGCATTCGCATCCGCCGCCGTAGATCTGTGCACCTTCTGCTACTGAGCCGCTTGAACCATTGTCCACCTGGCTTCATACCATGCACAGGAGCTGCACGAAGGGGATTGGATGGCTGAAGCTTCCTTGTGGACCCAGTGGAGTCATCGTGGATTGTGCACTCCTGAGATAAATGCACAAAGCACAACACGAGGCATCAAGAGTTCTGGAAGCATGAGGCTTGTGATTTCTTCCCAGCCCACTGTTTTGTTGTTGTTGTCGCCATGGCCTCAGCAAGCCTTCAGACCCTCGCAGTCCGTTGTTCGACGTTCGACTGCAGGTCGCAAGGCTTTGGCAACGTCATGCGGATGAGCCAAAGCTCTTACGTCCTTTGCAGGAGCTGTGAGCTGTTTCATCGCACCATGACGGGGATACACCAGCTTGGACTTTGTGCAGGCGGTTCGTCTTTGCCTTCGTAGCTGAGCTAAATGCTATGGAGAGCAACTCGGCTGCCGAGCTTTGAACAACAAACGAGCCTGTTTGTTGCAAGAGCTTCTACTTGTCGCACCATGCCTTCACCGGATGTTGTCAAGGCAAAGGTGAGGCTTCTGATATGCCTTGGGGCCGGATCCTAAGCAGAGTAGCCTCCAAGGGGAGACACGACATGACACATAGCAAAGCAATCATGCCTGCAGTACTGAAGCTAAGACCCCGACATCATCAACAAGATGACGCTGGAGAGCTCTGAATCAAGTGGTCTTGCCGCGATCCGGTCGCTTGCCTGTTTCGTTGGACGGATCTGTGTGGGAACACACGAGCACTGTCTGCGTCTTCGTGCCAATCATCTCCCTGGCACCACGGTCGTCATCATCTTGTGGCTGGAGCACCCCAGCAGAACTTGCGGAAACCAGGTGCAATGTGTATAGTTCCTCTTCGTCTCAGCCCAGAATCTCCCGCCCGCCCACACACCCAGCCCTGCCTTCCCCGTTCCAGCCTGTCGAACCTGCCCAAGCCAAGCATTGCTTCAGACATCTTTGCGCTTTCATATCATGCTTCACGAGTTTTGTCAAGGTCCTTGATTCACTTTCTCGACAACAGCCATGGTCAATCCGCTGACAGTTGTCTTTGCAAGCACAACGATAACAATCCACTGCATGCTTGGTTATGGCACTTCGACAACGCGTAGGTGCCCAGAAACGATTGCTTGCAGGGCAACAAGCAGGGCGAAACTTCTCCGGTCGTTTTGCCGGTTCTGTCGACAACGGCTTCCAGACGTCGCAAGCGAAGCAGCGTTTTTACTGTCGACGGAGCTCCCCGACAGTGCCCAAGCATTTCCCACACAAAGCTCCTCGAGTGATCAACCAGACGGCAAATGATTGCATAGCCATGAGGGGGGCGCGCTACACATAACCCCGATCAGCACTTGGTAGCGCTTCAAAATCCAGCCTTTCGCTTGCACAACGCTTCCAATAAGTGTTGCGATTCAACACTGGACGTTTCCGGACCACTGTGACTGTTGTGTTCTCTGGCCGAGACTCTAGACTCTAGATGAGGCCTGTGAGCCCCTCACCCTATCACGGGCAAGTGGAGAAAGTACCTTTTCCAACGTGAAAAACCAGCGATGTGGAAGTCGAGTAGGCGGAGGACGATGAAGCATTGACTGAGTGGTAGCAATTCAATGGTCGGTAAAGCCTGCCGGCATTGTACATGACACCTGCTGAGAGTGGGTTGATGTGGGTTGGTTGTTTGCTGGCAAACGTCGGCAGCAACGGTTTCGACTGCCAATGTGCAGCTCTTCCCATCATGGAGTTAATGCAGCCGCCACAAGACTCACGTAGCGGAGCAGACGCTGTGGTCATTTTCTAATCTGCTCAATGTCGACTTCAAATGTTTGCAGACCGTACAACGCTTTCTTGCACTTTTCTGCCATACAAGACTTCTCATGTTGTCACGAGCAATTTCCCTATAATTGCGGACGATTTCGACGATGTAGCAGAGGGCAGAAGTACTGCTCCTGGCCAGCGTTTGGCACGAAGATCTTGCACTACCAAGTAGGCAAGGATAAAAGGAGAAGCTCGTCCTGCTTGTGTCTGCCTGAGAGAAAGGTAGAGAGAGAAGGGTTGGACATTACTTCTGAATTGAAATGCCGCAGCCCCGGCCGCCCCGCGCAGGTCGATAACAACTTGCTCGAGCACTTGGGCTTCCTTGGCTTCTTGCCTTCCTTGGAACGGCTCCAGGCCAGGCCACAGGCGCTTGGCCTCGAACTATCCTGCTGCCTGCATCTGCCTGCGGCAGGCCAAGCATAATCGGATCCGCAAGCTTTCCTTCCCAATTGCGGTTGGCCACCAAGAGCATAGCTGTGCTACGACTACATGAATGCTCACGCAGCATGGGGCCCAGGCCAGTCCGCTGCTCAAGACCTTGGAGCTTGTCCCAGCCTGAGTAGAGCAGTTTGCTGAAGCAAGAAGGCTGTCCGTGATGGATTTGCATCCTTGAAAAACGCTGTGTTTCAGCTTCAACACACGACAGATGCCGCGCGATAAGTTGCACCGCAAGTTTGTGAACACGACGTGGCAACAACCATGGCAGGAGTCCTATTTCATATAGTTGCGACCAGACGACACTAGACGAGGAATGCCAGCAAAGAGCCACGAAGAGCAGTTTGGAGTACTTGATTCGACTTGAGCTAGCCTTGTAGGGCCTGTTGGGATGCCACATCCACCCCGCCGAGATGAGATTGTGGAGCTGCCGGTAGCAGACTCGCCGCTGCCTGACTCCGGTGAGGACATGCCAAAAAAGCACGCCGGTCGAGAAGCATAGGGCCGGCAATGTAGGAACACGCAATAAAGTCATAAAGGAGCCCAGGGCCTGAGGCAGCTAAGTCCATTCGAAGTCCTCAACCTCCTAACGGCTGGAGTTTGGAGCTGTTGAGTGCACGAGGAGATCGGTGAATTTACGCCTGCGTTGTTGCCTGGTGCCGTGGGAGTATCCTCTGTCATACATCCGCAGAAGTGGACTGAAGAGCAAGTCCGCGACTGGTGGGACAAGAGAACGAAGCGAACCAAAGAGGTGGAACCGCTTTCCAAGGGAACAGATGGTCGCAACATCATGCGGTGGAATGTGAACCGCTTTGAGCAGATGTGCAAAGGCGATACTAACCTTGCTGCAGCCTTGTATCAAGACTTGCGAAATGAAGTTCAACGCTTCGAACACTATCGCAAGACCGGAGTTGTGCTGAAGGCTGCATCAATATCTCCGAAGCCAGGGCCATGCCAAAGGCGACGACCTTCCGTCACACGATCCAAGGATTCCAAGCCCACACCGACTGCCGCACAGACACAGCCACTGTCCCGAAACGGATTGCAGTTTAATCCTGCACCGCGAGGGACAACAACCCTCAAGCCCAAGTTTCTCACAAGCAATCTGAATCTGGACCAAGGCGGGCAAAAGATCGCCGTCCCGGCGCCACGCGCTTCCGAACGGAAAGTTGCAAAGGTAGCACCTGCCCCCAAGGCTGCACAGCGAGCCTCAAGCAACGGAGCATCAGGGCGGCAGAAGCCTGCCTTTCGCAATCAGGGGACATCCAAGATGCCAGAAACAGGGACAGCGGCCCGCAATGGAGAGAACCATTTGGCGGAGGTTCCAAGTCGCGATGGACCGGTTGTTTCATTTAGTGAAGTGCCCGAAGTGCCCGAACGCCGACGGTCCTTGGTCATGGAAGACATCGATGGGAAGCTGCACCAACTAAGCACAGCAACCCGACGAGAGAAGGTGGAGGTCGAGAAGCCCAAAGCCATGGACGACACTGCCATCATACGACGCACCAAGTCTGCTCGACTCGCTGCGGAAGCAAAAGGCAAGGAGTCGGAATCCGAGGATGCCACCAGACAAATGTTTGACAAGCGAGAGCTTCGGAAGAGGCACAAGTGTGTGTACGAGCAGCATATTAGGTCTTGGTGTGAACGATATCCGAAAGAGGACTGCCCAGCGCCCGAGCCTTGTCGGGTCCGGGTGTACGTCAGAAAGCGTCCCCTTTTCCCACATGAGGAGGAGGCAGACGAGTTTGACGTTACAACCGTGACCGGTCGAAAGGTCATCATCCACAACTGCTTGACCAAAGCTGACCTACGTTCGTTGTTTGTCTCTCATATGGGCTTTCAGTTCACAAATACATTTCACGAGTCGGTGTCCGATGATGATGTTTACGAGCATTGTGCAGGGGCTGCAGTTCAGCATGTCTTGGATGGCAACATTGCTGCACTCTTCATGTTTGGACAGACGGGGAGTGGGAAGACTCACACCATGAGTGGGCTTCTGCAAAGAGCTTCGGCGCACATTTTCCAGCAGGAAAGCACAGTCACTTTGACTGCCTTCGAGATAGCAGGCAAAGTGATGCGTGATCTTCTCGATACCAATCCGAAAGAGCTTAAAATTCGTGAAGACAAGAGTGGCAAGACACAGATTCTGGGACTTCAAACGCATGATGTATCAAGCAGCACCGATCTCCTTCGCGTTCTTAAAGATGCGCAGGCGCACAGAGCTACCAGAGCTACGCAAGTCAACGAGACGTCTTCTCGCTCTCACGCAGTCTTCCGAATCTCGCGTGAGGCAAAAACCAAGGACGGTGCCGCTACACTCACCCTGGTGGATTGTGCAGGCAGTGAGCGCAGAGAAGACACCACGCAGCATGATGCTCGCACCATAGCGGCACGCAAACTCTCTATGGGCGCAGCCACTTCCTTTCCTTGCACGGGTTTAATCATTGGTTGCATCCTTGGAACCCGGTGGATGATAAGAGGTTGAACCCTTCCGGATAGAAGTACACCTTTCCTCATCTAGCCGTCCGAGCATCTTGACCATGTATTTCTAGCAAGTCTTGCGGTCTTGTGGTGAGTTGGCAAGAACCTGAGGCAGCCGGAAAGATGCGGCAGAGATCAACTCGACCATCTTCGCGCTGAAAGAATGCTTCCGGGTTATGCGCTCCTCCAAGGGTCAGCCACCATACCGGGAGAGCTTACTGACACGGGCCATTCGGCTGCAGACTCTGAAAGATCCCAAGCAGCCTTGTGTATCCTTGAGTCGCCTGAGTCGCCGAAATCTGCGACAGCGTCAGCTGAAATCCGAGGTGCTTTCCGATAGTTTCGCTAGCGAGCAAGCCATGGTGGTGGCGATTGGCACGGTGAGCCCATCAGCGAAAGACACGGAGCACTCTATCGGAACACTCCGTGCCCTGCAGCAACTCCAGGGTACCCAGATGAGTTTCGAGGAAAGAGAAGACATACTCAAGCCGAAGCAGGAAGTGGATCCTTGGCTCCATCCTGGTTTGGCCAGACTCGATGCACCATGCACGTTTTACCGCAGCTGTCCTGACCTGATTTCTTTGAGCATTCCCTGCAGAGGAAGTTCAAGCTCATCCGAAGACCTGGTCCGAGGCAGAGGCAAGGATTTGAAACTGGAGGGAGGTGTTGCAGCAAAAGGTACAGCCACCAGCGAGATGTTGATGGCCGAGGTGCGCCAGTGGTTTGAGGAAGCCTGCGGCGGAAAGGCAAAGGCATTCGCTGCAACGATTTCGAAAGGCACTGATGGCAAGCTCTTTAGATGCGCTTCATTATCGGCCGATTGCTTGGTGTCAACACAAGTCCACACTCATGCATGGACAAGCACGTTTAGTCAAGCTGTAAGGAATCTGCTCCGCTGGCCGAACCAGCGATTCACCCAACAGTGCGAGGGCGATGAGGATCTCGGCCACCGCTTGTACCAGGAGAAACTTGAAGTTGTCTTGAGACAGACATGTCAATGTCGATAAGTGCTTCCTACTCTGTGCAGGAGCTGCGATTGCGCATGCGTGCTGCAGGAGGACCAGCATGAGCCCGTAATTCGCCTACCGAATTTCAGAGGCAATCTCCTGCCACGACCAAACCATACCCACACGCGGAAAGACCGACTGATAGAATCCCATGTGTTGTGGTTGAGATGGCCCCTGTCCATGCTCGATGGCATCTTCGTGTTGTGAATACCGCATCTTGCTAGGCCAAGACTCATGCCTTGGTGTAGCCACATCTTGCCAGTTCTAGTTTGAGCTCTGAGCGAGAGCAGCACAAGCTGCCCTCTTGCTCGTTGCCCGAACGCTTATCGGGAAACGTGGTGGAACTCTTGTTTGACCTCCTGGGATTCCAGAAGAGGTCCCATGGGTCTCCTGGTTTCACGCTCACAGGGGTCCTAGCTTATGTAGTTGAGTTGGGGTGAAGCGCTCGCGTCAAAATGACACCTAGCCGAGCTGTAAAACGAAAGTCACTACTGTAGATGATCGAGTGTGGCATGGGTCAGGCTTTCAACCAGCTCGACAGTTCGGAGTCCCAAAAGGCAGTCGCCAGCTCGACAGTTCGGAGGAGACGAAACATGTAAAAGGGAACGATTCCGATAATCAGGTGATGTCGTTCGCACGTTTGACGCGCTTGCAACTCAACGACAATCCCTTCGTGCGGGCTTCAGAGAGGATCTAACTGCTAGTTTGTGCATGCAAGCACCGAGCAGAGGTGTTGACAACCATTACTGTTCTCGTCCCGAGGCTGCCGAGATGATGGAAGATTATAGGCAGACGGCTCAGCTGCACCCGCTTGATGTGCAAACCTGCATGAATCAACTACAGTAGCTACAGAGGTCGCAGTCGACTGAACTGTATTTCGCGTTTCCGCAAGGCCGTGGGTGCTCAAAATGGCACCGCAGCTGGAGGCATCAGCCCAGAGCCTGTATCAGTGCAGAGTCGATGCAGGTAGCTTAGAAGGGAGCGCAGCGACTGCTTCAGATGTTGAGCAGGAACTTGACAATGAGACGGTCACTGAGTCTGAGAGGCAGACGGGATTGGGATTGGTGAAACGAGCCTGTATCACTTTCGTGTCCCGCAGGCGCGAGCTCGACTTGCAAGGCTTTGGACACGCAGGGCAGGCTGTGGCGGTCACCTCGACGATGGCGAGGCAAACTAGCCGCAGCCAGCAAGAAAGTAACTCTTTAGAATTTAGAACTACACATTTACATACTGCGACATCGCTGGACAGGTCAGCAGTCAGGAGCTTGGACTGTCCTGGACGTGTCTGCACCTGCCGCGTGCTGTACTTCCAGGCCAGTGCCTCGCAACATGAAGGCCTTCTAGGTGCGGCTTGTCCCCATCTTGCTCTGTGTTACAACAGTCACGCAAGTGATGTCTTTGCAAGGCTTGGTGGCCGGGCCTGATGTTGCAGTGAGCCGGCACGCCTGACACATTCCGCTCCAAGTTGAGATGTCGTGATTCGCACTTCGCTTCTTACAGGCGAGCCCACATCTGCACACGGTGCCCCGATCGAGCCGAAAGCGACGGTACGGGACTGGCAGGCATCATGCTGCACGGGTTGATGTTTGCTCTCGTTACTCTAGTTTCGCACGCAAACGGCGATGTGACACAATCGTGCTTCCAGGAAGATGCAGTAGCATCGACTCGCACCAGTCCCAGGCATGTCAGTTGAGCTGCATCAGTGGGAAGTGATCGTTGAGGTTGCTGCTTCTCCGGTTTGACTGCGGACTGCTTGCGGTAGTAATCTGTCAGCATGTCTCCGCACCCTGTTTGCCTGCATCGATCTGCAAAGTCCCCAGTGGCACTAGTGCCTGTGCGACGTCAATCTCGTAGTTAAGCTTGTTTCCGATCCTCGGCAACACAGGCGCGGAACCTCTTGATGCAAATGTCAAATGTCCAACTAGATTTCGGTCTCCTGGTTCTGTCTTCATAGCTGACTAGCACTATGTCCTGGAGATTCTGCAGACAATGCTGACACATCCTACTGATGAATTCGGCAAACAAGCTATTTGAGCACGGCCGGTCACGGCCGGTTGCCATGCGATGTTCTTGGCTCATCGTGTGTGTCTGTGTGTGAAGTGATGCCCACATGTGAGAGGCATTGGGCCGATGGAAAGCTGGCTGGACCTGCGGCGACATTTCGGAGGACAGTGGCTGCCCGATGTGCGCGCCGCGTGCCGAGGATGTACGTAGGGTGAAGGAGCATTGGGATCACATCATCTCGTCTCACGGATTGCAACTGCTTCAGCATGTTTCGCAGCACATTCAGGCTTGCTGCTTGGTGCGAGGTGCTACGCTGGTGCAGCAGTGTCTATTGCTTTGTCGCACCGCAAGTCCAATTCCAATTTTTGCACATCAACACCGCAGATGCTGAACGCGGCGCGGAGCGCTCCATTCGTGCGAACCTTATAGCTTCTACTGGGTGTACCGCCGATTGAAATCCTGCAAGCAAGGTTGCTCACACAAGGGACGAGCGGCGGACCGCTTGAAGCCTGGCAGCGTGCAGCGCAATCCGCCCAAATTGAATCTGGCAGTCCAGGCCGCGCTGCTTTCTAGCTGCGAAGCCAGATCTCACCGCTTTCGCCGCTGCGAAGCCCTTTTCGTGCCAAGCTGAGAGATCTCTCTCGCAAGGGGCTGTGGTGTTTCTGCCACGGCTTGCAAGGCTTTGCGACGAAGACATGACTTCTGGACATCTTATCTGCAGCTCTGCTTCTCACAATATGATTCGTGCGAACCTCAAGATGAGCCTTTGCCGCTTGTGATTCGCCACTTTCCTTGTGCAAAGGCTGACACCATGGCGCGGCAGGTCTGCTGTTTGTCGAACAGCTGCTTTCGTGCTTCGCTTATGGCCCATGGCCTCGTAGCTTAAGTTATGATCGCGGAGAGCCGAGGAGTTGACATGTCCTGGCTCCGAGAGGCGGTGGGCCGATGGGGTTTCTTTCTTAAAATCCTGGCCAATCCTGGCCTTATGGCCAGGTCAAGCCAGGCCTTGATCCTGAAAGCGCAGTCTCGTCGCCCTGGCGGGTTTTGCAAGTGTCGGCCATTGGTGCCAACTGCCCTCGGGAGGTTGGAGAGGAGTCCTTGCCCGCAGAGCCTTCTCACGACTTTGCCTTGAACGAGTTTGTGAGGTGGGAACGATGGGGTTGGAGGTGTTCGCTCCGCGCCTGCGACATATCTCTTTCGCGATCGAGGCCATGTCGCACCGACAGCTTCGATGCTTCGTTCAACTGCAGGTGCTCGGCGCCTGCGATCCGGTAGATGTAGACATGCTGGCTGATGCCGGTAGTCAATGGCACACAGCAGGCGCTGTGGCGCGGCCATTCTGCTCGAAATGCCATTCGGGCTCGTGGCACAGTTCCTATCCAGCATTATCAGGTTTGCTGTGCTCAAGGCTTTTGGCTGCCAGCATTGAAGGTGCTACCTGGAGACAAGCGCTCGGCCAGGCTCAAACATGCGGCCACACAACTTCAGGCAGATGCACTCGTGACAGTCACTGACGAGACACTGCCGCCGTGTGTGGATGGTGGAGGCAGCACTCCGTGGCTCTCGCGTGCGTCGAAAACTACGATGGGCTAAGGAAGTGCTGGACTCCGAGTTTCCCACACTCCCACACCTTTAGAGAGCAGGCTCTGTCTTCGACCTTCGCGAGGTCGAAGGTGGTGAGCGACGATCTGGAGGAAAGTGTTTTGCAAGCGCATCAGAATCAAATTCATTGCATCAGAGTTCAGCTCCCTCCTGCAGGGCTTTTTCTTACACTGCGAGGACTGTCCGGAGGTGGACTTGGAAGACATGCTGCGCGAAGCTCGCACAGTGGCAAATGCCCTTTGCCTGCATATCTTTCTCCAGCCAGCTGCCAAAGACGACGATGTGTTCAGCTTTCTGAAGTAGCTGCGCCGCGATTCGCCCGCCTTCTAAGTACGCAAGTGATTCAGGCTGACCCGTTCTCATCCTTGAGTTTGCCCGAATTGAAGGAAATGCCTGAGGCTGCGAATGCAGTCGAAAGGTCGAGCGTAGATAGTCTAACGTTCTCGGTGATAGGTAGTCAGCCGGAGTTGTCTCAAGAAAGCCGGTAGCTCGGGTTGTGCAGCGCGCTTCAGACAGCATTGCCCATGCTTGGCGGACTTCACAGCTGGACCACTGCTAGGAGCCACCACAACACCCTGGCCCGATGGCTGCAGCCCGAGCTGTTTTTTTTCCTCTGCCTTTTCAAGCCGGCTGTGGCTGTGAAAGATCAAGGTGGCATGGACGCCGTTGAACATTGCTCCAGGCCGATGTTTGGAAGTCCTTTGCCTGCGCAGTGCAGTCGGATATGGCTTGCTTTCTAACTCATGGCTTGCTGGATGCCATCGGGTTGCAGAGGGGAGTGCTGCAGAGAGGCTCGTCACACGACGCCGCCTCGGGGCCCGCACCAACCGATGCAGGCAGCGACGGTGGCAGTACCTTGGACCTTGACCCACCCAGGAGCAGTTACTTACTTGCTGTTCTTGTTGCAAGCGCTGCCTTCGGCCCCTTCGACGTGGCCCATGCATGAGGGTAACTAATCGGAAAGGCAGAGCGAAGATGGACATGCACTGGACACTAAGTCACCAAGGGCTATCCAAAGTGCATGCTGGCCCTGCAACCGGTGTCCAAAACTTTGGGGCCCTCAGTTTTAGCAGACGGGCGCAGTTGAGCGGAGTTGTTTTGCCAGATTTTAGCTGTAGACTGTCATTTTTCGGGCTGCTCCGACCACTACTTGCAGCACTTTCCTGCCATCGCTGCTGTTGCCAGGAAAGAAGGGGTTCCATAACGATGTTGTGCTTCCAAAACCTCATGTTTGTTTCTTGGTTTGTTTTGCTCGTGGGCGGAGCTCTCGCCGGCTTTCCGGTTGTGCCCATGATCCTGTAGCTCGTTTGTCACCGGATGGCACGGCGGTCTGATGGTCTTGTGGGCGATGGTAGAGAGCGTGAGCTGGGTCCGTGCCGCCGTGATGCTGCACCTTACTATTGAGTTAGAGTGTTCAATCGATTCCTGAATACCCGCCGCGTCTATGTCTGCACAATGGGGCGGCGAGGGCGCCCTTACAATGCACGCTTGTGTAGTGTGGGACAGTGCCCGAGCCAAAAGAAAAGTCTGTCCGGAATCGCCTATGTAGTGTGACATGGGTGATTCACGTGGCGGGTATCAATCGAAATTTAGCATTTGGCGTACTAAGCCTCGAGCTAAGCCGCTGCCGAAGAGTTGTCTAGCAGTTTTGTTCGACTGCGTTGGCCCGGAGGCTGCTTGGGGTTTTTTCACGGGCACCAATTGAAAATCGTCCTGTCCCCCGCAAAAAAGCATTGACCCGATTACCATCCCAGAACAGTCCGACAGACCCCTGCACCTAACATGGGCTGCCTGCAGCCTGCACGCATAGCGCATCGTTTGCTGCATTTCATGCCATACAGCCTCAGACAACCGTTGGGTGGTCGGTCAGAATAAGAGCAGCTTTAGGAGTAGCAGTGAGATGCAGTGAGAAAGCACTAGCATTTCACTCAAGACATAAGCAAGGCAAGCCATCGACGCATTTCGCTGCCTACACTTCATTTATGGACATTAGTTGTCGAAACTGAAACTCAGAAGACACGTGACTTCAGAAAGCCTTTAAATTACGGGTACGAAAAATGCCAGCACAAACCTTCCGGGGAGGCGCAGCTGTGTTCAAAACGTAAGGTTGCGAACAAATGTCAGCACTTGCCTCCCGACCATTTTTTTCGTGGAGGGGCGGCCACCCGCTGGGGGAAGGAACAGTAACCCAAAACGAGCACTGTAGTAACAAGGGCAGATGGCAGCAGCGGGCGGTAACGCGGCATGATCACGGCACAAGGTGGAAAAAGTCGAAAGATGGCGAAACTGAAAGATGCAAGAGGGTGCGATTGCAGACGCAACCACGGGTAGCGAATTACCCGCGGCATGTCCTAGGTACTCCCATCGGCATTTGGAAACGAAGCGCATGAACTCGCAGGTTCAACCCGTCCTTGTTCTCAACCTATGCAATGGGGAGGCGCACAGCCGTTAAAGGGACGAACTAGTGACATGCTCCGGGACCAAAGGAGGCAGTTGATAACTACAAGGCCAACTGCAACGCTACCATCAACAGTCGAATAGGTATGCTGAACTGTCCGCTTCTGCTGAATATCGAAGACTTGGCCCTTCAAGGTGCAGAGCCCTCAGCCTATTGAATTCTGACAGACCTCACCCAGGTGTGGTGGGTTCGCCTCACAGCAGCCGTCCGGGGTCGGGTTTCGGCATCGGTTCGCTGCTCGGTTTCCGATCCTAACCTTAGTGAACTGTTGATCGGTTCGCGGACATAGAGTTCTTAAGGCCCACGAAGATCTAGATCACTTTCGTCAACAGCAGAATCTGCAGTGACAGAGCCAGATGGTCCGTAGCTTACATGGTTGTGCGCGATTGAGCCTGTTGCGCCGGGAGCCCGGTAGCATCGTCTTCACCTGCACGAGCGAGGTGCAGGCCACGGTTCGCGCACGAGGCTGGAGCAAGCGAAGGCAAGCAAGTTCGAGAGAAGTGTGTGCACGTGATCTGCGTGATAAGCTTTGTCCCGCTTTGTTGATGCGCTGCTGCCCTGGCAGGATGATTGGGGCTTCCAGGACTTGAAGTCAAGTCTGACATTGCAGGATGTTAAGCCTGAATGAAGACAGGACATTTCCACTGCCCGGGCGTGTCTTGCCGCTCAGAAGCGCAGGCAACCAAGGCCAGGGCACCAGGGCACCAGCCTAGCCGATCGTATTCGCAATGATGGACGGTGCGTGCTTCTAGGCCTCCGACACTTCCGGGACATGCTCCTTCGCGCAGCAGCCCAGCCCCTGGCGATGTGGGCTTGTTCCGAGTACACATCTGCTCGAGATAAGCCGGCGTCTTGCGGCTGCAGTGAGCCACCACCACTTAGGTACTGGCCGGCAACCTGTTTCGACCTTGCCTCGGAATAAGTTGCAGACTTAATTTCTCGCTGACAATGCAAGCTTCCTTTTGTGTGGGTGACTGCTGCGGGTATGCTGACAGGCAGAGCAGCCAGTCAGCTGGTCCACCGAAGCGTGGCGGAGGTAAACCATTGCACTGATTTTGGAATGTAATTCCAGACATGATAACTTCTAAGAACATGTGACTGCGAAGTGAGACAACAAAGTGCACTACAATATAGTAGAATGGAATGTAGTATAGAATAGGATGACATAACATAGAACAACGCAAGGACTTATGTCGGTAAAGCTTAACATAAGTAACATAACAGACCCTACTCGCAATGGAAGTGAGCACAATGTCATCAGTACTGTAATGCTAACGCACGCAAATCGCGAATGTAATGTAATGTAACAGAATAGAATTGTGCATCAATTGCATGACAGATTACAAGATAGCGGAGCGTCTGGGAATTCGTACAAAGCAAACCTGATGCATCCTTATGCATGTACTGGTGATATACTTATGCACATAGGCACCGTGTACATACATACATACATGCATACGTACATGTTGCACGCACATATGCACACACACACGTATAAACATGCCTTTGCATGGGTACCTACATATTCGTATACCCATACATATGTCATACATCATAGACGTCAATCTAGTATAACATGGTATCATACAGTCTGTTTGTGTTTCTGCGCAGGCTGCCAAAAGGCTCAGGATGCCATTGCCGAGTACCGGCGCCTTCAGGAGGCGCAGGATTCCGCGGCTACCAACAGCGGGCCTACGGAGTTCCGCTCTGGATCTCCCAACAGGAAGCCCTTTAGCCGCATTCATTTTGGAATAGTTTGGACATGAGCCCTCGTGGGTAACGAGTGCTCAAGCCCTAGAAGCCTGGGAGCAACACTTGAAGTTTGCAACTTCCAGACCCTGGCCAAGGTTAATGCGCAGTTCCCAAAGTTTGGGCTGAAGACAGAGTGCAGCGACATGTGCTTACCCCCACCCCTGAGTTTCACAAAACGGCCGCACCAGTGTACAGCGAGCGGGCTGAACAAATTTCGGGCAGCCTGAGCTCAGCATCCAGACGTCTACCTGTTAGGGATGCTGTCTCGATTATTTCTCGTTTCGCGAAGCATTCTCATTTCTCACTTCATTTCATATACGATATACGGTATTGATTCAATAGTTCTCTAATAAAACGGTGTCGTGCTGGTCGCCTCCGTTTTGTTGTGCGCGCCCCTGGCCCCTGTAACGTCGTCCTTTGGCGCGTTTCTTTTTGAAAGCCTCTAGCGTGCCTGTCTCGCGGTACTAAAATTTCGGAAATTTTAGTACAGGGAGCACTTCTTTCCCGGTACTAAAATTTCCGAAATTTTGGTAGCTTTAGGAAATCTCGCGATATGAATATTTTCGGAATTTTGGTAGCTTTAGGGGGACAAGCTCCCGGCATTAAAATTTCCGAAATTTTTCGGTAGGCATGCTCGCGGTCATAAATTTTCCGAAATGTTTGGGACATGCTCGCGGTAATCAAATTTCCGAAAATTTAGTACCGAGAGCATGTCAGAAAAAAAGAGGCTTTGAAGAGGAAATGCATCCGATTTTAGGGCCGCTCGAAAAGCAAGCAAAAGGCTTGCAAGAGGAAGCGCATCAGGATTTGAGTGCCGAAATTTCAGAGCCGCGAGACAGGCACGCAAGACACTGTCAACAGGAAACGCGTCAGGTTCTTGGTAGCACGAGCTCCGGTGCCGCTCTCTCTGAATGTAGGTGTCGATGTGTGTCTCCTGTGTGTCTCCGTGTTTGCTTTTGGCAAGCAGGAGTTGTTTTAGCTGTGAGATAAAAGAGCATGGACAGCCACTGTGTCATTGGATTCAAAGCACATGTTCTGTCGTGTCGCAGTTGTCCAGCTCCGGTTTCTTCGTTGCAAGAGCGATCATCAAAATACGTCCGAACCTTTCGTTCTCACTCAAACACGTCCTCTATATTCTATCCTTATCAAAATACGTCCAGGCCTTATTGGATTAGAAGCACATGTTCTGTCGTGCCGCGGATTTCCAGCTCCGGTTGCATCGCTGCAAGCACGATTACCCTGCTGTTTGTCAGATATTACTATCCGTCTGTGTGTTTGTCTGTTTGTGTGTCCGCCTGTCTGTCTGTGTGCCTGTCTGTCTCTGTCTGTTTGTCTCTGAGTCTCTGTCTCTGTCTCTGTTTGCTTGTTTGTTTGTTGTCTGAGCTTGTCTGCGTTTGTCGATTTGTTTGTCTCTGTCGGTCTGTCTATTTCTGTCGGTCTATTTGTGTCTATTTGGATTTATTTGTTTGTGTTTGTCTCTCTATTTGTGTATATATTGGTTTTTGTACTCTATTTCTTTAGGTCTGATTCTCCTATAAATATTTTTACTTTTTTCTATAATATAGAGAGAGGTATGTGTATTTCTTTGTATATTGGTATCCGATATAAGATGACCGATATATTTATATTATTAGATATTTA